ACTGCGCCTGTGATTAGACATATCTGAGTAACTTATGCGAGAGTATTGTGCATGAGAGTACTAACAAGCTTCCGTGTGTCAGCACAAAGCCGTTACATCTGTTTTTACACATACTTACTACGAACTGCATGACATCCATGAAGGAGGCGTATTGACGCACACGATCAATTAACAACATGCCTATATTTAGAATAATCCTACATTAATTTTGTGTAGCGAGACGCTAGAGAAATACCATGCACACCAGGAAACAGCACATTATATATATATATATATATATATATATATATTTTATATATATTATATGCGCTTGCGTGTTGTGTGGGTGTGTGTGTGTGTGCGTGCGCGTGTGCGTGCGTGCGCGCGTGTGTGGCGTGCGCGTGTGTGTGCGTGCGCGTGTGCGTGCGTGCGTGGCGTGCGTGCGCGTGTGTGTTGCGTGCGCGAGTGTCTGTCTGATTATCATATTAAATATACACTTCTTGTCCTTTTCAGTTTCAGATCCGTCACACAGCGCCATCTATCATTTCAAAATTCGAGACTATCTTGAGGATGGCCAAATTTCCCGATTGCCCATCGAACTTGTCGTAAAGGGAAAAACGGGCGGGCGCGTGTTTGAGGCGAGTCAGTACCGTAAGCTACTCACCATCAACGGCCAAGACGTCGTTCACGCATGCCGAGCGTACAAAATCCGCAGTTTCACATCTATCGCTAGGCGGCGCGCTGCGCGACGAGTTCCGAAAGTGCGTGAACGCGGTGTGCGCCGTCGACGTTACGTCGGCCTAGACGCGCACGCGCGCCGACGGGCGACGCATGCGTAATGGATGCGCGGCTCAGCAGCCGATCTCGTGTTCTACTACGGCATCACTCCACACGTCTCGCTATTCACGAGCGTGGCGCGCCGGTCGCGAGGAAGCAGCCGCGCAGGTGGCGTCGAGCGGCGATCGACGGACGCGAGCAGTCTGTGCCAGGTTCACTGCATGTCGATGGCATTCGCCCGACATCAAGCTGGTCATGGTGCTGCAGCCGCTCCGAGTCAGCCTCAAACTACTGCAGCGGCCGATGCCCGGCGAGCACCTATCACCAACTCGCGCTTCAACCTCACCAAACCACGCCTTCTTCGCGCTATGTACGAGATTCGCGCAGGGCTCGGAGCGCGTGCACTTCCTGCCGGCCGCCCGCCTGCGTGCCGAAGGCCGCCGCACCGCTGACGATTCTCTACAATCAGCCGACGCAAGCCGAGTTCGAAGATTCTGCACAGCGTGCTCGTCACAAGCTGCGGCTGCATGGGTAGATGCGCTGATCGAGGACAGCACGCAGCACGCACGCACGCACAGCACGCACGCACGACGACACGCACCACCAACGCCACGCTACCAACGCACACGCACGCACGCACGCACGTCGCGCACGCTCGCACACACCCACCACGCAACGCACGCACGCACTACGCACCAACGCCGTACCAAACCGCACGTACCAGCACGTAGCACGACAGCGCGCCGCTCACACACACACCACACAGCGGCGCGCACACGACGCACGCCACGCTCGCACGCACGCAGCCGCCAATCTCGTAACAACGCACGCACACGCACGCCCCGGCGCGCGCGCGTCACACAGCACACACGCGACACGTCACGCCGGCACGCACCAACGCGCGCCTCACCCACACCCGCACGCACGCACCGCTCGCACGCACGCACGCGCCGCTCGCATCTCCCGCACGCACCGCACGCCCCACACACCATCACACACTGTACACCACCGCCACGCGCGCATTAGCACGACGGGCAGCACGCGAGCGCACCCATTCAACGTTATATGCCGGTTGTCGTCATCCGCTGCGCTGGCGCTGTATTTATATATTTAACCTTATATACCGATACTGTGAGTTTGCTCTCTGGCCTACTAGGTCATTCGTAGATGCTGTAAGGCCCAGGCCAACGTGTTTGTATTGATGACTAGGGCATTAATGTGCACGCCGTGTGTTTTGCAGCTTAATATAAACGATATAAAACATATTTTACGATCTAGCTACGCCTTTCCGTTGATACCCAGTTATTCGTTCCGCCCCCCCCCCCCCCCCCCCCCCCCCCCCCCCCTAAGGTAAAGGATTTATTTCAAGCATACGCGACGCAGTTATATGCGGATTAAATTAACAAATAGGTGAAGTGTATAATGCGAAATGGTACTATTACATTTGCATGTGCATTCGTTTTGTACAAGACGATATTTTTGGTGTATATTACGATTCAGCGGCATAGGCCGCCAAGTAATTTAATGTGTATTTATGTTTTGTAGAGACGCCGCGGTTCGACAAGATAATGTGTTCCGGTAGAATATGCGGGTTATTTAAGGACTCGCATTGTACCACCTACGTACTCACAGACGCGCTGGTGGCGCGAACAGCACGCACACATACACACACGTAGCGCGCGCACACACGCACAGCAGAGCACAACACGCGCGCGCAGTGCGCGCAGCCACATACACACAACACGACACACACACACACACACACACACACACACACACACAACAGATACCCACACACACCACACACACATACACACACAACACACACACACACACACACACACACACCGCACACACTCGCACACAATGCACACACACACACACACACACACACACACACACACACACAGCACACACAGCGTTGTTGTCATTTTTCGTCGGCGTCGTCGTTGTTGTCATTTTTCGTCGGCGTCGTTGTCGTTTTCACTGTCACCGTCGTTTTTCTTCAGCATCGTCGTTGTCATCGTCTTTCGTCGTCGTCGCTATCGTTTCTCGCGGCCACCGTCGCCGTCGTTCTTGACGAAAAAATGACGGCGAAAAAACGACGGCGCCGTAGCGAAACACGTCACAATGATGGCACTAAGCGGCCTACTGAGATAACACTGCCACTAATAACGATCATTAACCATTAACTAGTAACTCCTATACAGGAGTTGATTATTACGGAGTAATCTGTAATTATGAACTTTTGATAAGGCGGATAGCAGCCTCGCACGCTCTCGGCACGAGTCTACACCGGCGCACGAGCCACTAGTGTACTCCTTCACACTAGTGTGACAAGCTGAATTTACATCTGTACCTTCACACTCACACTTTTCTCTTTCGTTTAGTTACAAAGAGTTATTATTATTATTATTATTATTATTATTATTATTATTTGTGAGAGTAGTAGTAGTAGTAATAGTAGTAGGTAGTTGCGGCGGCAGCAGCTGCAGTAGCAACAGTAGTACGCAGTACTTATTATATACTAAGTTAGTAGACATACCTGAAACAGCCGGGTAGCTTGTCACACGGACGGCCTCGGGTCGTCCGTCGGTCGCGTAGCCGCCGCTGCTGCTGTCCTGCTGTTGACGCGCGTAGCGCTCCATCGCTGCCGACACCCTTACCATGTAGTCGTGCGGTGGGCCACCGCGGTCTCCTCCGCCTCCGCTCTCACGCAGTGGTGGCTCTCTTATGCCCAGCTCAGCTAGAAACGCTTTCTCTAGAGCGCCTCCGACGCGACCGCCACGCGACAGATCGCACGCGAGTGCGAGCACGCACAGCGCCAAGCACGCACGCACGCAGTCGCCGTGCAGTGCCGGCAAACACCGGATCGTGCGTCGTACCATCGCTATACCGAAACGCGAGGGTTGCCGCTAATGCGAGAATTAAGAGAGAGACAGCGTTGATACGAGAGAGAGAGAGAGCGTTGGTACGAGAGAGAGCTGCAAAGTGCCAAGTCCGGCGTGGCGTGCGGTTTTATCCCGCCGATAGAACCACTGCCACCCCCGAATGCCGCGCCAACAGCCAATTACTGCACGCCTAGCTACGTCACGAGATTCCTGCGCGCGCTCCGTGCTTTTATGGAAGACTTATATCGGCAAGCCACGATGGGAGGAGCGTATGAACGAGCATATACTCATAAATCGTTACTATCATTGGTTATTTATACCGCATTATAACCATATATAGCATGACATTCATATAATAATAGTATACTTAGCCATAAGTTGTTATAAATGGTATTAGTAATTACGTTGCGTATCAGTTTCGCAGAAGCGGTTGTCGGCAATTCACAATGTCATTCAGAGAAGTCTGCAAAACTATATATTCTACATCTGTTCGCGGACACGATGATGAGGATCCGCTAGAAACAGCTGTTGCTACTGTTGCTGCTGCTGCTGACGACGACGACGATGATGATGGTGGTGGTGGTGGCGACGAAGAACACGACGACAAATGACACGATGAACGAACACACGCGCGCGCGCACGAACGCACACATACATTCGTAGTGCGTGCGTGGTTACGTGCACGCGCACGTATATCCCTCTATATTAAAATCTTAGCTTATAATATAGGTGCGTTTTTCTGTTTGTTCGGTGTCAGTAACAATGTAACAATTACATTTTAAAACCCTAGTAATACAAGTATAAACTCGTAACATTTTAATAACACTAGTCGCGTGTCCAAGCCGCATGCCGTTTGATTCGACCCCTACTAAGCATACTAGCCCAGTACTAATAAGAATTGCACAGACCTGAAACACGTGCGCATATCAAGCACGCACGCACGCACGCACGCACACGCACGCAGGCAGGAAAGTTCTACAATATATTTTTTTTATTCACATGTGTTTATTCATCAAAGGTTAGTGAACATGGCGCAGAGAAGAGCACGCCTACTGCACGAAGCTTGCTCCACAAGACTGTTGTTACAAGCTTTTCATAACGAACAAATTTCTCAATGATCGCCGGAGGACATAGGACAGAGTCCGATGACATCATACATTCGCAGAGATGTCGAGTGTAATGCGCATGCGTCGCTAGCCTTCCGCTCCCAGCTGTGCAATTTCATATAATAATGCGCCAATTTGAAGCGACCAGTATTGTTATCACACGTACAGATAAGAATGGATTCACTATAACAGGTAACGAAAAGGAATATACATTTGATATTGAATTAGTAGAATAATTCACGTAATACTAAATTCAATATAAATTTCCATAACACCTGTTCACTGGCAATCTCTCACAACGCAGGTCGAATACACCAGAGCAAGTATATCAGTGATATCCGCAGTAAGATATAATATCCTCATTAATATACCGCCGATGAAATACACGTGTTCTGATTGTACATTACAATCACCTGCATTATTATCTTCATATTATTTTTAAAATTAAACATGTCATAACAACATATTATATTACACGAAGATATTAAACGCACTGTAAGCATAAATAATACAATAACAATCCTTCAATGAAATAGTACATGTACCCAGCAGTATTCCTGCCTGGCAGAGCACATTTCAGTTTTCAGCACAAGCTTCATTTCACTACTTTTGGGAGAAAACTATTTTTGATGAACTACGCCTATCTGATTCATTTGCATTGCGCAACATTCCCTATCCTACCCTTATACCACTAAGTCTAAAGAGATAGGTGGCCCTTTTTCTACACAAAAACCTAGCAAGGCATTTGCATAGGCGAGTGTGGACGCATAAAATGAAACTCAGAAAAAACATTCTCTAGTAACCTATTTGGGAAAAGAAATTAAAAAAACGTCAACATGGTACCATGAACGTGCCGTGTTTCTAATAGCCTAAAATAAAATGCCATATATAATATATAGATAGATAAATAGATATATCTATATATGTATATGGACTACCATCTTCTCATGCAATGTATAAAATCCCAACTGCTGAATATCATGAATAACATTTATAATACAAAATCTATCACACCCAAATTTGACAGTCGGCTTAAATTGTCTATACAACGATTTTACATGTGTTCTCAATCACAGATATAATTTCTAAATTTACATATGCAATCTTTGTAGCCAACAGTTGTATTTAATCTACAAACTCTATACAATCTTGACAGATTGTAACCTTTGTTATTACAAACCGTACTCAGGAGTTATATTTCACACTCACAATGTCAGTTGTTGTTTTTTTCACATTTTATATTTCCTTAGTAACAAAGTTGATCAGAGTATTTATAGTAAATGAATGTAGGACTCTATTTAACTAGTCTATTCTCCACAGGAATAGCATTTGGCACACTTTGTTACTCGCGAAAAATGAAATTTTCCTTTATGATACTCCAAAACCTATATGGAAAAAACTAAAACGTGAAAGCACACAGCTTAAAAATACAAGAACAATAATTAACATCTTACCAGGGCAGCACTAAAAAGACAACACAAAAAATAAACCAACTGGCAATGTGCACTAAAGAATTCATCAACCACGTAGTATAGGCAATCTCTTATATACACACTGTACATGTAAACAAACAATAAAGCTGTGGGCCTGCTTTGCTTGCTGCGGGTCAGGACGGCATTGGTGACATGCTTGTGTGGATTGTATGATTGGTGACATGCTGCAGGGCGTGAGTTACACTGGCCAGTATAGTGCGACAGCTATGCCACCTACGATTAACTTTCCCACAGTGGACAGCTATAACAACGACACACTAATACCAGATGGAATTGGCACCCTCACCTGCTACCGCTTAATCTGAGCAGTAGATAGAAGCAAGATATGGCGAAAACAAATCTGCGGCCTTCCTTATAGAAACCCAACGAGACGACCTTTCCAAAAGAAACATAATTCGGCAAGGCACACGACAGCTGTTCAACTATAATATGACAACTGTTTCTTGTTGCCAGCTTATAACAAAGGGAGTGGTTGTTTTGGCGAATCACGTACCCAGGGATTTGTTAGTTTGGGACGGATCCATCGGATTCTGGTCACTTGACGCCACCACAAACGCAAGCGGCTTATCATAGAAAAGTTGGCTGCTTTTTTGCTGCTGGCCCACAACAAAAAACCTGGGCCAAACAACTGCTGTTTCTTGTCATGAATACTTGCGCATCTTGTAACCATCTCTTACATATTGCAGGACACAAAACAAGAGTTCACTAAATCGAAGCTAGGCGTCATTAATGTGAATTCACCGGGAAAAAACTGTACCACGCCTTTAATGTACTAAGATACTTCTCGGTCAACACTTTCGACAGGATAATATTTTGACGTTTTTGTATTTTATTGAAAATTTTTAAATTCAATAGTGGTGAACAGTTTCGAATTTATCTCACCCTAACTGTGCGTAACATTTGAAACAATTGCAATGTACGCAACATCTGGTTTTGTTCCACAATCCATAGTTTATCATTAAATTCCATTTGAAAAAAATGCCAGTCAAAATTTACTGACATCAATTAAGAAATTTAAGCTGGCGACATTTTGCACCAACTACAGCCCTAATTACTGACATCAAATCAATGAAATCCGTTCAAAATCAGGTGCCAATTTCAATTCAAAAGTTAATGTCAATATGACGTTACATGGAGTTTAACGAAACAGCCAAGCTTTTTTGCAGCTCCGTAACACAGATATAACTCAACGCTCGCGCTGAATAACTCACTTGCAAACGGACATTTCACTGTTGCTGAACGCGAGACACCAGGTGACAATCAATACGAATACCTGCCTTCGTGATCTGAATTACACGTGTATTATATTACCACTACTAACGCATGATGTGACCCAGCTTCTACTAGAGATCGATGTATCATCAATGTAGAACTAAGGAACCGTGAACATTCTAAACCATCATGTAACCAAAAGACCCAAGTTTCACCTCAGGAGGTGATAATTACTATAATGACCCTGGTTATACGACATGTATTCATGGCCCAGGAAACAATAACAGGCTTTCAAGCAGACCCAGGAAAAGATAGGAGAAAAGTAGTATCAAAATTTGCACACACAAAAACAGGACAAAAATAGAATTTTGCTGGAAAAATTAGAATAAAAGTAGGGCTTTCAGGAGTAGTTTTTACTTATACTTACCAATAGAATTCTCCTGTAAAATTGTAGTGTGCAAAGAGGTAATTACACCGCCTGGGATCTGCAGTGACTACTCACTACTCCTACGCGCAAGCCCTTCTCTTTGTGATTTATATATGTGATGTAACATCGTCATCAAGAATATTGAATGACTCTGACAATTCCTTTCACGGCGTTTCGGGACTAAAAATTAGAAGAAAAAAACACGAAAAAAAGGTAAGAAAAAGTAGGAATTTCAGGGGAAAATTGGGAAAAGTAGGAGCAAAGACAAAAAAAAGTAGGAAAAAGTAGGAATACTTGAAGGCCTGCAATAATGAAATACCGTGCACTGAACACGATAAAGTTGAGCCTGTTTACAGCCAAGCTGCATTAAGTACTGGCGCAGAATGAACACGGTCCCGTGGGTTTTCATAAGGGGGCGAGAGAGGGGGGTGGCTAACATATTACGTTACGGTAATCGTGAGATGACAATGAAGGGTTGTAACCCTCTAGGACACCTCTCCCTTTCGTGTAATCGTGGCCCGATCGTGTAATCATTCACCCTTTCAAACAAAACTTGTACACTTCACGAAGACTTCGATCTCGCGAGAGACAGAGAGCAAGAGCAGAAATTCAAATGCGCTGCTGCTCCACATTCACCGGGCGGTGAGACCCTGCAATGGGATTTACTCTGAGTCGACAAGCCGCACTAATTGAATATAGATGCTAGCAAGGCGAAGTCTCTCAGCAAGACACCGCAGCGGTAATTAACAGCAACAGCTTTCATCAGTTTCTGCGTTGGCTCAAGATGCCCTTAGCTGCATACGCACGCTGCAGTTACAGAAGACCTATAATGGCATCTTTATTACCTCAGCAGCAGCCCTAACGGATGTCCAAAACCATCGCAAACGTTCTTTGCATGCCGCATTATTACCACTCCGGAGTGCAATCTCCTGTTGAGCTAAACCGCCCCGCACGTCACGCACGCGCTGAAGGGCAACAGAGGACGTTCGAAGGTGAACCGACGAGTCGGCCGAGAATCGTCGCAAACATCTTGTTGTGCCGCCGCCGCCGCCGCCGCCGCCGCCGACGACGACGGCTCGCGTCGGTAAACTCGCGCGTTTCCCCTGACTAGACGAACAAGCCGGCACGGCTAGAGACATCCTTCACGTGCGAACCCTCACGCCTAGACCACGCCTGCCTGCCTGCTACGACGACGACGACACCAACCGTCGATGACACGCCACCACCGATCCGCACCAGCTCCAAGCAGATGCAACAGCAAGAAGCAGTCTTGATTAGAAGCCCGCAAACCCGGCCAGTCCCGATTTCAAACATTTCTGGTATTTCTAAATCTGCTCATCACCGGATCAGCACTAAGTTCCGTTAACCGGCGCCACGTCATTGGTGCTCTGCAACGGAACCTATTCTGTCATCAATACGTATACCTACGATATACATAATATATATGTACACATTAACGCTCTGCTAACTCCAAAAACACGTTTTGAACTAGGGCAGTTTAAACACATACAAAAAAAACATTTTAAATCGGGTGGACAAAAAAACATTTTAAATCGGATGGCTGACTCCATTACCTAACCTTTGACACCTGATGTTTCACGTTAAGCTCAGCCTACTTCCAACTTCAACCCCATGAAAAATATCTATATGACATATATAACTTGAATGCAGCACCCAACGTAACCAGTATGAAGTCAAGGATTCAACAGTGACTCGAAGATTCACGAATCAATCTCACGGGGCATGTGAACAAAAACAACGTGAACAATTAGCGATACGTCATAGCAACAAGCAGACGCAACAAAATCAGTCAGGCGGCAAAGTTTCGCGCAGTTGCTGGCAGAAGTTAAAATATCGGTAATCAGCTGTACAGATGCCGGAAACCATCCGCAGGTAGGAAGTAGAAAAACAGCCGAATTTCCCGATCAATAATTGAAGCCATATCGTTCTGAATCAGTGATTGGCCGATTACGTCAGTGACTGACACGGAAAACCGCCTTGCCACTCCCCACTGCTCACACTAAACAAAGTTAGCATCTATACGGTCGACCTAGAATCGGGTTTTTCGCTCGATGCTGAAGGTAGGCGGTGGCACACGTGTCTATGCGCGCTACGTGCCACATTCCTTACTGCTACGCCTACGACGAGACAGCTCCCGCAACCAGGATTCGCAGGTCGGCATGTGTTTTGATAGCTCAGAGTACGATCGTGACGTCACGCACGAACTCGGCTATCTCCGAAGGTGAATGCAGTGACCCTAGAACAGATTACTCTCAGAATATATTATGTGTTCAGAACATTCATATACAGAACTATTAGTGTACTATCGTCTCTGGGCTGTATGCATTCACGTTCGGAGATAGCCGGGTTCGTGCGTGACGTCACGATCATACTCTGAGCTATGGAAACATATGCCGACCGGATTCACACAGTTCACACCGATGGCCATGAGCGACTTCTTGTTTGTCGTTTCCTGACCAATAAGGAAGACAAGCTAGGCCAGCCAAACATCCGACCATCTCTCAGTTTTTTTCGAAGGGCGCACGATTCAAGAGCACGTGTTACACGGCTGCAGTTTTTGTGCCCAGAAGAGCTTTTAAGTTTTTGCCCGCCTGTCGGTCAGTGCACGGTCAAATAAAACAAGACACTTTCAAGAGCGGCCAAATTCCATCGCTTATCGACGCGAAACGTAACGACAACATTGCGTAATATTATCACCTTGGCATTCTTACCTAGGGTTATCTTAAGGTTCCTAACGGCTGGACCATGACGATATTGTTGGAATAAATAATGTGATGTTATCCAGCATTTAATGAAAACACGTTAACGAAGTAATAACTTTCCTCGGCTAAAAACTGTACAAATTCATCATTTGTAGCGCAGTCAACAGGAGTTGCGTGCGTACGAAGCTGCAAGCGTTCACATGCTGATGCAAGAGCATTCCACATTCGTGACGAACCAGCGAACTTATAACAACGCACATCGTCAGGTGCAAACAGTGAGATTGATGAAGGCAGACTATGCCTGTATGCCTACCACGACTGCCCCGGCTCTCACGAAACGTAACACGTGATACGTGAAATGTGCTACAAACAGTGCGGCCATGTACCTAGCACCTGCGACCAGCGTCATACAGACATACCTGGCCGTATAACGTACTTCACAGCTGCGTTGGGCCTAAGATAAAATGTTGCTTGTTTCCCCTTTACCGACCGACTCGCCAAAACGCCGCTACGACACACTTTATTGGCCGATAAAAAATCAAATTCGTTCCGCAAAAACATATACACAAAACAGAATATACAATATACATACACACATCTTGTCAAAACAAAATAAAAAAGATTTTTCACCTACCTACCTACTCGGTACCCTGAGAGGCGAGTAGGTAAAGGGGAAACAAACCATTTTTTAAGGGTGGCCCTGCACATACTACTGCACAGCTCTCTGCATGCGCACCGCCGCTTGTAGCCGTTCGCCACGATTCATGGACAGGGAGAGAACAACATGGCAGCTGCTTGCACAGCAGCCTGCTAGAGCTAGCATGTATCGTTAGACGTGTATCATGTCACCAGCTCAGGTTGCGTGCAGAAACAGCATCGCAAACATGCGACGGCGTTTGCAGCACGCAACGCTGATAATTACCTCCAGAATTTCATTAGATTCCACACCTATTTCTAGTATCAATAAACACTGGGATCAATAACAACAAATAAAAACTCTTCAAGCAATCTCGTTCACTAAAGGAAATCCTCGTTCCTGTGAAGTTTCAATGATCGGTGTCTTCGTCCGACGTACTGAAGAAGAATGCAGTTGGATACCTGCAACCAGAAAGAAATCATCAATGCTATACATGATTTCTCATAGTTCCACCTTATGCCGTGTTAAGTGTTTCACAATATTAACGTCGCACGGCGTGCCATGCGCCGTTAGCAGACAACGATTACATATGTGCATATTTGCAATGGCAGCAGTTTTTTTGTGAAAAATTTCAAATTCAACTTTTTATTAATCGACCACTATTTTGGTGATTCGATGTAATTTTCTCTACTCATGCTGTGCAGTAAAGTGGCAGAGAACGTGCAATGTAAAAAGGGCAATTATTTCACGAAACAAGTTAGTAAATAGATTAAAAATAAGAAACGAGGGTAAGAAAATTCATGAAAATCCGCTCTCTATTCACAGCAGAGCTTTAAGATATAAACCGAAAATTATCACTCAAGCGTGAATGAAAAGCGTGAATGAACTCAGTGAATATGCAAACGATGCTCTAAAAACGATGTCATAAATACGATGCTCCTTCAATCACTGTCAAGGACGTTGCAGCGCGTGAGGCCAAACTAAAAACAAGATTTATAGTTTTGCCCGTCAGGAAACCGGAAGCTCTGCCAATTCGCATTGCAATAATAAACAAGAAGTAATCGTAATTCAACTTCAACAATGTCCCGTGGCGACCGATTCTAGAAACGTGTTCACATCATAGTTCCTTGAACACACTGGCAATTACATCTCCGTGGTAACATACTGCACACGTGGGATAACAATAGTTCTGTGTTAGCAACCACGTTAGCAAACCACGTAATAAACTTAGTACATTAAATAAGATTATTGCGAAGTGTTCTAAGTCGTAAAATAAACTGACATAAAGGGTAAATCTTTGCATCTTTGAAATTTGTACCAAAAAAAACGAATTCTTGCTCAATTTCAATACAGAAAATTGGTAAGAAAAATATACGAGATGCCCATCTCTTTGCTTCTGTATGTGCAATATACACATATGATAAAGAATTAGAAGGCAGAAGACATCCAATTTCTCAGCGTTCATTTCATCATACGACAAACTGACAAATCACAACATATGAGACAATTGTTTTTCCCAAACATATTTACTTCTATGCAAAAATCATCTAAATTATATAAAATATCATCTAAATTACACGAATTATATGACAAGATATAATACTAAAACTTTACTTTGGTGAATATTTAATGCTTTTTGGTGAATTTATTTAAAGGGGTTTAAGCTCAGGTGCATGTGTGTAAGTGCTTGGTGTGCGTAAGGTATCTTTTTTTTTATTTTGCAAGCTTTTGAGAACTTGTCTCTTCCTCAGGCTTCACAATAACAGAATGGAATATATATATATATATAATGAAAGTTTCAATGTAGTTTCAATGGAGCAGATATTAAAGCATAGAGCAAATACCAGGCTCTGCACAATGACCAGATGATAAAAGATCGTGGACTCACCCCTACTACTGGGAGCTGGACCGCGTGGGTGACTGAGGGGGAGGCGATTCACCTCCTCCCCCCGCCGCGCTGCCTCCGCCGCTGTTGCCCGAGCGATGGTGATGCTGCTCCAGGATGTGGCTTCCGTTCGCTGGATGTATCATCATGAACCTCTCCTCTGATACGAAGCAAATACACGCGTGGGTCAGCCATGTTCCACGCGCACCTACTCCTCACGTTACACAACGCTCGACACTAGCGGTGGCCCGGTCGCCCGGGGCCACCAAAACTTGATGTCGGGCCACCAAAATTTCAAAAAGTTAAAATTTGGTGGCCCGATCGGGCCACTAAAATTTCAAAGTGTCTATGTTATAAAAATAGTTGTTTCTTACGTGCTAATCTCATTCAAAAGAGAGCGAGCAATTCGCGGAGCGAGCGTGATCAAATGTATGCCGCGCGTGCTACGCAGGCCGGATATAGTACGCGATCGATCGATCGTGTACATCAAAAGCAAATACACGCGTGGGTCAGCCATGTTCCACGCGCACCTACTCCTCACGTTACACGTAGATATGCAGTTACACACACGTTGACATTTACAGCTAGTCGTTAAAACGGCACGTTCTCGCAACAAAATGCATAGATATACCTCGTCTATGTTGTGAAAATTCACTACAACTCAATTGTATTGCTACTTCCATAAAATTTCTCCTGCAACTAAACAGTCTCACGAAACTAGTACGTTCGAATGTTTACAGTTTTTACACATCCGGGACACAGCCGAGCCGATCTCGGTTTTCATTAACAGTTATTTTCTATGATAAAACAAGTTATAATTTAGTATTTGATGTTTGTTCAGTACAGCGATGCAGCAGGGCAGTGACGCAGGCAGGCAGGGCAGGCACGCAGACAGGCAGGCAGCGCAAGAGGGCAGGAGTGGCAGGCAGGGCAGGATGCAGGCAGGCAGGGCAGGCAAGCAGGGCAGGCAGTGCAGGCAGGGCAGCGCTGCAGGCCAGCAGGCAGGAAGCCAGGGCAGGCAGTGCAGGCAGGGCAGAAGATGCAAGGCACGCAGGCAGTGACGCAGGCAGGCAGGGCAGGCACGCAGACAGGCAGGGCAGGCAAGCAGGGCAGGCAGTGCAGGCAGGGCAGCGATGCAGGCAGGCAGGGCAGGCAAGCAGGGAAGGCAGTGCAGGCAGGGCAGGCCGTCAGACAGGCAGGGCAGGCAGTGCAAGCAGGGCCAGCCGATAGCAGGCAGGCAAGGGCAGGCAAGCAGGGCAGGCAGTGCAGGCAGGGCAGCGATGCAGGCAGGCAGGGGCAGGCACGCAGAACAGGCAGGGCAGGCAAGCAGGGCAGGCAGTGGCAGGCAGGCAGCCGATGCAGGCAAGGGCAGGCAGGCAGGGCAGGCAGTCAGGCGCAGACAGGACAGGGGCAGGCAGGGTCAGGCACGCAGGCAAGCAGGGCAGGCATCGCAGGCAGTGACCAGGCAGGCCAGGGCAAGCAGGGGACAGAGGAGAGACCAGGCACGCAAGGCAGGAACGGACAGCAGGCAGGCACGCAGGGCAGGCAGGGCAGGACACGGCAGGTCAGTGAACAGCAGCAGGCAGGGCAGGCAGGGCAGGGCAGGCCGCAGGCACGGCAGTGCAGGCAGTGCAGGCACGCAGACAGGCAGGGCAGGCAAGCAGGGCAGACAGGCAGGGCAGGCAAGTCAGGGCAGGCGAGTGCAGGCAGGGCAGGCAGGCAGGCAGGCAGGCAGGGCAGGCAGACAGGCAGTGCAGGGCAGGCAAGCAGGCAGGGCAGACATGCAGGCAGAGCAGCCATGCAGGCAGTGCAGGGCAGGCAGACATGCAGGCAGAGCAGCCATGCAGGCAGGCAGGCAGGCAGGGCAGGGCAGGGCAGGCACCCACGCAGGCAGGCAAGGCAGAGCAAGCACCTTCGTTGAGCAGGGCGTCGTCGGGGTTGACGTTGGGCAGCAGGCCCTGGATGACGTAGTCGGCATCCTCGAGCGTGATGAACGGCTGGTTCCAGCGCGGCACGGGCGTAGAGCGTGGCGTCGTGCGTGGCGTCGTCACGGGCGACGTGAAGAGGCTGATCGACGTCGGACTGATGACTCCGCTCATCACCGACATCGGCAGGTTGATCGGCATCGGGCTCAGGTTAGGGTAGCTGAAAACCTGCAATGGAAACGCCTGCATATATATCTTACGTACTCAGGTTAGGGTAGCTGAAAACCTGCAATGGAAACCCCCCGCACGTCTCACGTACTCTTGGGCTCGGGGAGCTAAAAAAAGAACATAGATACGGGCATAAACACGTTGGTAAGCTCTATCAGTCAAATACCAGCTTATACCCTATATACACTAATGTCGGTGTACATCTAACATTGAATGATGGTTGCTCTAGCAAATCCCCCCTCACCCAAGCGCGCGTCTGACCCCACCAGCGAATCCAATTACAACGCAACGTGGGACGCGGCCGACTCGGAAAGACGTCTCGCTGAAAATGTTGCCGCGACGACAGGCGTGAGCGAGCGTGTCCTTACCGTGCCGAAGTGTGTTGCGCCGGGAGGCTGTGGATGGATGTGCATGAAGCCATGCTCGGCACGGCTGCCAATGGCTGCGAACGGACTGCCCATCACCGTGCGACTGAATGGCGGCGTGCCGGGACTCGACGTTAGCGGAACTGCAACAGTGCAACAGTTGTCAGATGCTAATACGATGAACCGGAACATTTCTGGTACGACGTGTAATTAAGGATACTCTCAAGGTTTTAGGAAAATTTTAACCGATTTTTCATTTTCAACTTTATTCGATGGCTAACACTATGTGCCACCTGTGTACATGCTCATTTCTCCATATAACGGTACATGTGAACTGTCAGAGCGTTTTGCTTGCCCGCGTACATGTGTAGCGAGCCGCGGCTGACGTCAGAAAAACGCTGATTTCTCCGTTCCAATTTCTGACTTAGTAGTCGATGTATAAATGGATATTTCTCTGTGATTACAACTTGGAATAATTTAATTTTACACTCGTTTTAATGGTAACATATTGTTGTAAAAAAGTGCGTCAGGAATTGTTATTAAGTGCCGTATTTTATGAGTTATGTCGCTTTAGTCGCAAAGATTTTAAATTCAGACGTGCGACTTGAATTTTAGGCTTTTTAAAACATTTTCTTGGTAAATATGAAACTTAAAGAAAAATCCTGATGCGCTATTTTGGTACATATTGTGCTTAACATGTGGTAAAAATTTTGTATCCTCACTCTTTCTGGTAATTGAGAAATATCCAAAATATCATTTTTACATAAAAATTCAAAATTTTTGTGGTAACATAATTAGGTGCTGGAAATTTCATGAAATTTTTTGCCTCGAGCATAGAGATTGATTCGATTCATTCGTCAATAAACACTTAATCTTCATTAGAGCAATACCCGTGCAAAAGGTTGAGAGTATCCTCAAGTAATTATATATATATATATCCCACACCCTTACTAACTGCTTCTTGTTTTTGAAGAGCAAGTACGTAAAACATTACAGGTGATTGTTGAAATACTGTGTCACACCAAAGTCAGGCAGCATTGGGGATAAGCTCTAACTTGCTGCAGTAGAAAGGACTCACTCATTCTAATGAAGTCTGTGTTCATCGAACCCATAGTTGTCGCAGACGTAGTCGTAGGTGAAGGAGCCTGCCGACACTCCGAAGAGTCCGGGCTCGGTGAATCCGCACCCCCCTCCGAACCACTCCGCAAGTCGGCCGTGGAACGCACTATGGGGACGGGTCGCGCCATCGGCGGCGGGGGAGGCGGTGGTAACATGGTGGGGAACAGATGTGGAAGCTTTGATGGACTATGATGAGTTGGGGTCGAGGGGCTCGACTGAAATGAAAGAAAGTCCATACGACTTATTATTTCCGGCTTCGAGAAGCGCCATGATCACTACATGTCAATAACCTCCTCCTTGGTAATATCCTTGCCCGTACTGATATTAGCTTATGGCAGATCTAGAACCATCTAATAAATACATAAAGAACAGAATGTGGCGAAACAGATGTGCAGAACAGCGTGCGAGAGCAGAATCCTCTCAGTGACCTCAAGAAGGCTAACCGAAAGGCACATTCTCTATCATTCTTTGCAGTATAACTGAGAGAATATAACAAACACAGAAATATAGCAGTTCAAGAAATTGAAGTAAACAAACAATAGATAAAAATACAAAATCAGCTAAAGATATCTGCTCAAGATGATAAAAAAAACGACTAGCATCGTCAGAATTACAATAAATGGAATTGCAAAGGCGGGGATCTGAAAACGAAATCCATTGTAAAAAAACAGAACGGCACGAATCGATCACGGAAGATGGCGACAAATCGCTTTGCTCTTTTATTTACGTAACAAAGCAACGCTTTCTGTCCCACCCTCTCATTCTCCACCTGCTTATGCTGCTTAGAAGAAGAGGAAGCAAAAAACATTAAGGCTGTATTAGTGGAGTGGGGGTGGGGAACACTGTAAGATGCACTCCTTCCAAACGGTTGTCATCTGATACCGAAAAAACAATTACATTTGTATCAAGAGCAGCTTTACAAGCTAGACTTGAGAGCATACAAAAGGCTTTGGGATCATATAAGAATAACACAAAAACACACTAGCACATAGAGAGAGAGAGAGAGAGAGGCGATAGATACGAACATCGAGACATTTTGGTATAGACTTGAGCCATTTACCTCTCCTCCGCTCGATATCAAATGCGCGTCTGTCTCACTGCTGGGACGTTGCTCTCGCTACGGACAAAAAGCATTTGCAACAGGGTTTTTACAGGCTCAGCGAACGATGGCACACATACAGACGACACTGGAAACACAAATGCTTCAACTCAGGTGGACACATACGTGCACACACACACACACACACACACACTCACCTGCCCGAGAACGCACGCACACACACGATCACACGAAGGCACGCACACATACAGATGTAGGCAAGCGCTTATCAACGCACGCAGTGATTTCAACGCACGTTTCTCACCTGAACCGGCAGTACCGCCGACTACACCTGCGACTTAACGAGATTAAACGCGCTCACCTGCATGCCGCCCGACTGGCCCTCGGGACACACGACGTTGACAAAGTCACGCAGGATGTCGTGGTTGGCGGAGGGAACGAACTTGTCGCGCGCGCCGTTCGCGGCATCGCCGTGACGAGCGACGTCGAAGTAAGCGGTCGGCAGCGCGTGCAGGCTGGGGGCGAGCGGGCCTCCCTCCACGCCCAGCGCGTGGTTCCCTGCAGACAGAACGCAATGACGGCCGGCTGAGTCGCGCCGTCCCCCCACGCAGCATCACGTACACCACACGCACACACACACACGCGTGCTGCTGCCGCCACCACTACTACACAGAGATGCCAACACATATTTGAAGCAATCTGTAGTTTCTGGCGCTCAAATTAGTATTTCGAGGGTCACGTAGTGACCCGAGTTTGCTAGGGGGTCAGGCATGCCCCCCGGAAAAATTTTTGATTCTGAGATGCAATTTCCTGCATTCTGAGGGTCAAAAATGACAATAAATTGAAAAAAAATGACATTGACAAATTTTTTTCCCCCGATCGCAGTGAAATTCGTAGTTTGATGCAAACTGGTCGTAGTGGTCCAAAAGGAACAGAAATTCGTATAAAACACGGATAAATCGTAGTGGTTGGCATCTCTGACTACAGCATCGTTCATCAATCTCTCTCCCACACAGCTACCCAGACAACATACGGCCCGCAGGTAAACGTAATGCAACCTCTGACCCATGCACCCCCGAATAGGTGCAACATAAACATTTAGTGTCTGGGATCGCTGAATGTTCAGGATGAGGGTAAGGTGAGGGAGGTAAAGCCAAGGGGTGTGTCAAAGCGTAGGGATACAGCAGGTGTAAGGATTGGGATAAGGCTTCAAGGGTTATGTGTAGCCCCAGCTACCAACAAACGAATTAATTACGCGAATGCTTGACGGCGAATAACGACTGTATTCTAATGGACAGACGTTCTCACTTTTTGTCACACACCCATATTTATTTTTTAATCAACATTTTCGCATGTGACCATCAGTAAAGTAATAATAGTAACAGAAGTAAGAGAGATAGATTGTATGATATGTGGGATTCAGAGGGAAAACCGAGGCCATAATAAAAATATTGTTTGTTTGCCCTCACCCGACCGAACCGCCAAAAAGGGGCCGACTCAAAAAAATGTATTGATCTTTTTTCATTCTTTTTTTTTACAAATTGTATCACTGTATGGTATATATAAATCTGTAGGCAATACATTATATGTACCAAACAAAACAAACATTCAACATGAAAGGTATCTCCACCCAAGGACACCCGAGCATTTGGGCCCCCTTGTTGATTTGTTAAAAGGCCCCCCTCAAACAAAATAAAAAGCCTACCTACTTACCCAAACTTTTCATCCTGGGTCGGGTGAGGGCAAACAAATATTTTTTTTATTGTGGCCCGAGTAGACACATTGATTAACATGAGAACCTAAAAATGTGTCAATTCTTCTGCAGTTGTATTTACGGATCCATGCTTAAAGACTGGGAGCGCAAATTCTAGCAATAACTTACCCCCCCACGACCACCCCACCCCACCCTGAAAAGTTCCCACTATGAATATGTTTTCTCTATGTGTATACATTATATCAGGAGTCTATCAATAGACTCCTGATTATATGTATATATATATATATATATATGTATGTACACATACATGTATATGTATATACATGCATTCTCATATAAGAATATATATTATGCCCATATATTTGTTCCTACGTAGGTGATGTTTTTGCATTACAAGCACAGAAGTATTTTAATTAAGTGTGTTAATAACTTCGCAACATTACTGAAAATTTTTAGTATCTCCACTCACTTTTATGCCTCACATGCTGTTCGATTATCGTCAAAAATCAATTCTCAACATTCCACCATCGCCATTCTTTTCAGTGACCCACTTATTAAACTGCGAAGTCTACACAAAGGTTACTGTAACCGGATCTAGTGACCCATCCCCTTTATCAATATAAACAAGTTGTGAGACAATGTATGCCTAGAAGACCAACGCCATGATTTCAACAGCATTCAATCTACACCGGGCATAGTCGATGCACTATTCAATGCATCAAATACACCAGAAACGGAACCAAACATATCGAGAATATTTGTGACCTCTGCATTGGCAGTCATGATGCCCTAGTTTAGAGATATGATATTATAGGCAGGTTCAACTAAAACAAAAGCAAATATAGCAATCAGTTGCCAGCTGATGCAGATGGAGGAATAGACGAATAGATTTCGTATTAGGATTTCCGCAATAACGTACAACTCACACACGAGTTACACATAGCGAGCGAAGACTGTTACCATGTACTGAACAGATGCAGCATCAATCAGTTAGCAACGCAAAACTCTGATGGCAAGAGAACTGTTAAAACTCATGTGCAGCACGGCAAAGCTTGCATGAGATGTATGGTATGATGCGTCAGCCGCACGTGACTAGTAGAGTGACATGTTAAGCTTCAGGGTTCTGCCCAGAATTTTTTAGTGCCGGGCGCATCCAGTCGCAAGATGCAAGCGCCATAGGCGCAAAGCCAATCTAAGGGGGTCCGGGGGCATGCCCCCCTGAAAATTATTGATTTTTGATAGTCTGAAACTCAATTTCCTGCATTCTGAGCAATAAAAAGCCCATATATATCACTTTTTTATTTTTTTATTTTTTAATATCAAAAATTAGTGCCGGGCGGAGATCTATAGTGCCGGGCTGCACCCGCGAGTGCCGGGCACACCCGCCCCCCGCCGCCCGCCGT